CCTTCCCTTTCCCCCTTCTCCCAGAACTCCTGGATCCTTTCCCTTCCACTTCTCCCTTCTCCCAGCACTCCTGGATCCTCTTCCTTCCATTTCCCCTTCTCCCAATACCCCTGGATCCTCTCCATTTCCCCCTTCTCCCAGAATTCCTGGATCCTCTCCCTTCCCTTTCTCCCTTCTCCCAACACTCCTGGATCTTCTCCCTTTCCCCCTTCTCCCCGAACTCCTGGATTCTTTTCCTTCCCCTTCCCCCTTCTCCCAACACTCCTGGATCCTCTCCCTTCCGCTTCTCCCTTCTTCCAACATTCCTGGTCACTTCCCTCTTCTCCCAGTACTCCAAGATCTTCTCCCTCCCCTTTCCCCCTTCTCCCAGAATTCCTAGATCCTCTCCCTTCCCTTTCCCCCTTCTCCCAACACCCCTGGATCCTCTCCCTTTCCCCTTTCTCCCAGCACTCCTGGGTCCTTTCCTATCTTTTCCCAGAACTCCTGGATCTTCTCCCTTCCCCTTCCCTTTCCCCCTTCTCCAAGCACTCCTGGATCACTTCCCTCTTCTCCCACAACTCCTGCATCCTCTCCCTTCTCCTCCCTCCTTCTCCCAGCACTCCTGGATCCTCTCCTTCCTTCTCCCAGCACTCTCTTCCCAGCATTCCTGGGTCCTCTCCCTCTTCTTTCTCCCAGCACTCCTGGGTCCCTTTCTTTCTTCTCTGTTCCTGGATCTTCTCCCTTCCCTTCCCCCCTTCTCCCGGCATTCCTGGGTCACTTCCCTCTTCTCCCAAAACTCCTGGGTCCTCTCCCTTCTTCTCCTTCTCCCAGAACTCCTGGATCACTTCCCCTCTTCCCCCAGCACTCGTGGATCCTCTCCCTTCCCTTCACCCCTTCTCCCGGCATTCCTGGGTCACTTCCCTCTTCTCCCAGAACTCCTGGATCCTTCCCCTTCCTCCTTCTCCCAGCACTCCTGGATCCTTTCCCGTCTTCTCCCAACATTCCTGGATCCTCTCCCTTCCGCTTCTCCCTTCTCCCAACATTCCTGGTCACTTCTCTCTTCTCCCAGTACTCCAAGATCTTCTCCCTCCCCTTTCCCCCTTCTCCCAGAACTCCTGGATCCTCCCCCTTCCCCCCTCTCCCAGCACTCCCGAGTCCTTTCCCATCTTCTCCTAATGCTCCTGGATCCTTTCCCCTTTTCTCCCAGCACTCCTGGATCATCTCCCTTCCCCCCTTCTCCCAGCATTCCTGGATCCCTTCCCCCTTTTCCCACCACTCGTGGCTCCCCTCCCTTTCCACTTCCATCACCCTCTGGGCGCTGCCCACCCCTTCCCCTTCCCAATCTGGGAATCCGGGATCCTCTCCGGTTCCTCCCCAATCTCCCGTTCCTCCCGCAGGACTCGGATCCATTCCCGATATTCCCGGCATTCCCATACCCTGGAGTGCTCGGATTTCCCGACACAGCCGTTCCCATCCCCGGTATTCCCGGCATTCCCATACCTTGGAGCGCTCGGATTTCCCGGCACAGCCGTTCCCA